CCAAAACTCGGTGACATTTGAACCTGTGAGAATGCACGGTTTGAGGTCATCATACATGCATGACAACAAACGAACATTTTATATCATAACTTTACCTGTAAAAGTACATTTTAAGGGTGTCACATTTTAATCACAGTGTCAGTTAGAACACGCTAGATTAGGGCAATTTGTGTTATTTTGATATATGCTCTTTTTATAGTCCTATGACTCGTATTTATTAAATGAAGCCAGAAAAGCAGTTTTCTAGCATTTCCGACAGTACTTTATTCTTCAGCAACCCATGCTTATCGCAAGAGGCAATTGACGGGATCAGGGGGTCAGGTATGCTCCTTACCCATTCAAATTTGGACTTACTGTAGAAAGACATTTTCAAGCATTCCTGACTATTAAGCATAGACACGGGTACAAGTGAAAATCTTGTTTTCGTTTAATGAATTCAGCGTAAAATTAATTTATTTGCTAAAAATGCAAATGCACGTGTAGCATGATCACGTGCAGCATGCTCTGGGCATCACGTTGACACGTTAACATCGACGCCAAAGAAGTTAACAACGATGGCAGAACTGGAATTGATGTAGAGTTACATTTTCTCATGAGCGAAGGTGTCAGCTCGTCACAGCAGTCGTTAAACCCGTGCAGATCCGGGGTACAATAGGTCTTCGGCAATCCATGATTGCTGTAGAAGGCGTCTATGCTATCAGCAGACGAACGGGATCGGGAGATCAGGTTGGTTGACTTGCTTGATGTATGTCATCGTATCCCAACTGCGGGGATCGATGCTCTTGATATCAGTCACTGGATTGTCTGGTACAGACCGCCGTCATTTAGCTGCAATATTGCTGAGTGCGGCGTTAAACAACAAACAAACAAACAACAACAGCAGGTGTGTTCACGTGTATCGTCGTCGGGAAGAACGCACGGCTTGAGACTGCACCGTGTGGAAGTAGTAGTGTAATAATTAAAGCCGGTTTACGTGTACAAGGGTTAATTGATAAGTTCACATCACATAGAAAGATAACCTGATGACACTGGAATTATGTTATTTTTATTTTCAGCATAATCTTCTTCTGCATTTATATATTTTTGAATACGATGCTCAGAACTTATCAATCAACCCCTACATATGTTCTCCAGCGAATCGTTATTGCCCTTATGGAACAATATATGTTCTCAGCATCAGTGCACACTATAAATGTCAGTAAATGTGCACAAGGATCTCTAGTTTTGCATATTTTTCAACATGAAGAAAAATATTTTTATGTAACACGCTATCATTCATACAGGAGTAAGCATATGATCCGAAACGCCGTTTTCCTCATAATAAAGAAGCTGACATACATAAATTCTATCTTTTATGTAATACTCATTTCATACGCATCACCTTGCCCAGGGCCGGCTAATATTAGTGAGAGAAACATTCATGCGAGACAGAATAAATGTCATATTGATATATGTGAAACGGACATTACTCAGTAAGATGTCATTTTCGAGGTCGCATTCACTTTGGTAGACTAGGTGTCTGTTGTCATGTGACGATATGTGTAGGCAAATTTGCTCGAAAATGGACGTATTTTATGAAGCAATCTCCACTTGAACTGTGTTTTGTATTTTCTACAATGTCCTGGTTTCTCGCTGATCACCTGCAATACGTGTGTAGTTCACACATCATGTGTAACACATTTGTGTAATCTTCATCCGTTGGCCTCAACCAACAGTACCTCAACTATCAAGATAGTACTGTTGATGTTTTGGAAATGAATATTTCGTATGTTAGTCCAGGTAAAATAAGGTTTCAAGTTGCAACATAATTCATTTCACCACAATGCATTTCTACAAGGTCTCGAAAACAGCAAACCATAAGTCCCAAACAATCCCAGGTTGGGAAATATGTCTAATTTGCATAATCCAATATGGCCACCAATTGTCAATATATCTTCCATATTTCAGATGAGGTTCAATATTTTGATGAAAAAAAGCATGCGTTGTATTGCGAAATAGCCGTATTATGTTTCTAAAAAGATATTCACAACTACTGAACTTTTTCGACTATTGACAAATCTACAAAAAAGCAAAATGTCTGTCAATTCAAAGATGGTCGACAAGTTTCCTAGGACTAGGACTTATATGCATATAACTTGGCATACTAACTCACTGGAGTATAGTTTACACCTGTAGATAGAAACTCCGTCACCAGAGCCCTCTGGTGGCCTAAAATTCCAAGATCGCCGCCAAGGGTTTGATGGCTAGACATAGAATATGAATACACTGTTGGTCCCTTATGACATACTAGTATTTGAGTGATTTGAACTTCTACATTAGGGTACACAGGCATGTAGAATACTCAACCATTTGCATAAATCCATTATAACCACCAAATATCAATATTTATCTTTTAAATGACATGTTTTGGAGAGTTTAAATATCAATGTTGATTGATATTGTCCGAATCTACTTATTAACATTCCAACAATAAACGCTATAACAAGTTTCGTTTTCATTCATGTAAATATACACCTCGTCATAAATATCGCACCACACATTTTAAAGTAAAAGTAGAAAATATAATTTTCGGTTTTTTAAACTACAAGTACATATTTCATATACAACACCATCTGTGAACATAATATCACAAACACACCCTTTTCCGAGCTGCACGTGCATGCTTGCGTTGAGCATGCTTGTACCGGGGGTCGGTTTGCTAAACATGCAGTATGCACATAGCCTCTTTTGGCGTATGTTATGTTGGCAGACACAGCTAGAATTTGGTTTTAGGCATAAATTAAGCTTTATTTTGACCAACCAGTGACATGCCCAAGCGTCCAGTTCCTCTGAACCAAAGATGGCAAATTATTGGTATGCACCAGACTGGTATGTCATGTCGTGCTATTGGAGCACAACTGAACATTAATCACACTGTCATCAGCAGGCTAATACGTTTTCCGGTGAAGTAAAGGATGCACCGAGGTCTGAACGTCCCCAAAAAAACCAATGACAGGGAAGATCGTGCTCTCGTACGCCAAGCCAGACGAAGCCCAAAGACTACTTGTACACAGCTGCGACATGGACTTCATGGACGATAATGCCAAACCACATCGTGCTCGAGCTGTTGTTCAGCATCTCCAACACAACGCCATTGAGACACTGCCCTGGCCTACAAGAAGTCCAGACATTAATCCTATTGAGCATTTGTGGGACATTTTGGGACTTAGGGTGAGAGCAAGGGCTCCTCCAGTTCAGAACCTTCAGGAATTGACCCATGCATTGCATGATAAGTGGCAGCAGATCCCCCAACAGAGATTCAGACGTCTGGTGACCAACATGAGACGGCGTGTAGTACATGTTATCAAAGTGCGATGTTAGCCAGTCATTGTGGACCTTACAAGTGTGTTCGACATTAATGAAATGTGAACTGTGTTGTGTGTCTGTTGTAACGACTCCGGCAGCCATACTTATTTCACCTTATTTTAGTGAACTTTAGTTTGCTACAATTAAACCCTCAAATAGTGCTCAAATTCGGTCTTGTGTTGTCAATTTTCTGACTGAACGCTCACATGGGGCCATATAAACAGTTTAATGTGCTTTTCTAAGCACCATTTTTATGAGGTTGAAGATCCAGTTTTACTTAGTGAAAAAAAGAGGGTGGTGCGATATTTATGACGAGATGTATACTTGTTGGAAACAAGTATGACCAATACGAGGTCCTCTCCGAATTAACCCAAACCAGTTGTTTCACAAGAAGTCGATGAGTTATCTCCCTTGTTGTTCCTTTGCGGAAATTCAGTATAACCATCAAATACCAATATTTGAATATAAATCTGAATCTTTTCATCTATTGCTCATTCCGGGATCTAAAAGTCTTATACTGATATTATGCCTGATCAGGAATATCCGATAAAATCACCGCTTTGTGAAAATAGATTACCTCAAAACGGCCAATATTTGCAGAATGTCGCCCGACTATAAACACAATATCAACTTCTTTGTGTGTGCATATTCAAACTGTTAATAACCTATGTTCACGAGCAACTGTGATTTAATTGATAGTCCTTGCAACACAATATTCATCCGTAGTGGTTATTAAAGAGATATCATAATGAGTATTTTCATCGGTCAACATGTCCTAGCAGCTTTTCCTCAGCTTCAACTCCACACGATGAAAAAAGCAACTGATTTTCAGTGTTCCATTGATAGAATTTCCACAGCTGTTTTGCCCAAATGGAATCTGCTTCGGCAGAAAATATAGGCTGGATATTCTCTTGCATTGACAATTTATATTTACTTGAACAGGGTCGATGTTTCTGTCCTCGAGTTTCATCATAAGCTCAGTAGCATCTATCTATGCTGAGTCAACTGCAAGAGGATGTTTGGGTCGTGACATTAAAACTGCGCCCCACTGTGTTGCAAAAGAAAAATATTTCTTAACATTTTTCTTTACTTATAAGCAGCAAAATCTCTGCACTTGTACACAGCAGACGTAATTAAAAAATAACATATCGTTTTTATTACTTTTAACAAAATTAGAAATGGGACTATCGTGTCACTGAATTTTCTGATTCATCGATCACTTGATTTTCTGGTTTGAAAACTGGCTGACGTTCCATGCCAGGCGTACTGCTTTGCGACGTCAGGCAATAAATGCTTACTTTTTTATGCAAATTGTACGAATGGCGAGTGCTACCGGGAGGGCAGGACATGGTCACTCTTTCCGCGAACACCTGGTGTCATCACTGATTGTCACAGGTCCATTCATAGAATTTCCACAGCTATTTTGCCCTTAATGGAACACGTTTCGATAGAAAACCTAGACTGGTTATTCTCTTGCATTGACAATTGTATTTTACCTGCTTTAAAATCTTTTAAAAATAAACTTCAAGTAAATGGGATTGAATGTGATGTTGATTATTGTTTTATGACTTGTTTCAAGCATACACTGCTTTGATCTATGTGGGGAATTTAACCCAATAGATATGTCATTAATTTATTCAAATTCAGAACACACATTCAGAAAAAATATGTTTTTATTTGTTATGACAGTACTGCTCTATTGTCAATGAACCGCCTATTCGCCATGACATAAACAACTCCCCTAAACACACATGCACAGATATCTTGTCAGGAGAGATTTACAATTCATTTCTTGGTATAGTGTATCCGAATGTAAACATATAGACAACGTATGACGCTTCAGTAAGACTATGGGACGAGATATAGCCCTTTAGACATTTTTTTTATCACACAAGCAACTTTATCAGCTTATTTCATGGTCGAAGATATATAATAAAAGCGGCATATTCTGTCATATATTGATTTCATTTAAGGAATAATTAAGCAACTTGTTTCATGCATTTATGTCCCGGGACAGGAAGCTATCACATGGAGTTGTGATTAAGCATGGTTTCCTCGTCCATACTTGCTGAACATCCCCCTTTTTTGGCTATTGCCGCCACCTTGTCCGCCCATCTTACTGGCTTTTCCCTCGTTTTCACCATCACCGTCATCCATCTTTCCGCCCATTCCTCTGTTTCCTCTGTGACGTCCAAACATACTGAAAATGCCCCCTTTTTTTCTATTACCTCCGCCTTGTCCGCCCATCTTACTGGCTTTTCCCTCGTTTTCACCGTTGTTTTCATGCATCCTGTCCGTTTTACCTTCGTCTTCACGCGTCTTTCCAGCCGTTCCTCTGTTTCTTCTGTCAATTCCAAACAGACCACTGTCGTTTTTACCTTCACTACCATGATTGCCACCATGTTTTCCACGTTTCTCCTCTTCGTCGTCATCGTTTCCATCGTTGCCATCGTTTTCATCATCTGTGGAGTTTACATTCTATTCTTTATTGATATATTAAGTAGACATCTTTCAGGGAAACCCATTATCTATCCACTACTGTGTTCCTTCAGCGAAGCTGGTGAATGTCCCACTTAACCCATGCTTTACCCTCTACTGACTACCTGGAGAGGAGCTGGTGCATGTCCCACTTAACCCATGCTTTACCCTCTACTGACTACCTGGAGAGGAGCTGGTGCATGTCCCACTTAACCCATGCTTTACCCTCTGCTGAGTACCTGGAGAGGAGCTGGTGCATGTCCCATTTAACCCATGCTTTACCCTCTACTGACTACCTGGAGAGGAGCTGGTGCATGTCCCATTTAATCCATGCTTTACCCTCTGCTGAGTACCTGGAGAGGAGCTGGTGCATGTCCCACTTAACCCATGCTTTACCCTCTACTGACTACCTGGAGAGAAGCTGGTGCATGTCCCAATTAACCCGTGCTTTACCCTCTGCTCAGTACCTGGAGAGCAGCTGGTGCATGTCCCACTTAACCCATGCTTTACCCTCTGCTTAGTACCTGGAGAGCAGCTGGTGCATGTCCCACTTAACCCATGTTTTCCCCTCTGCTGAGTACCTGGAGAGGAGCTGGTGCATGTCCCACTTAACCCATGCTTTACCCTCTACTGACTACCTGGAGAGGAGCTGGTGCATGTCCCACTTAACCCATGCTTTACCCTCTACTGACTACCTGGAGAGGAGCTGGTGCATGTCCCACTTAACCCATGCTTTACCCTCTGCTCCGTACCTGGAGAGCAGCTGGTGCATGTCCCACTTAACCCATGCTTTCCCCTCTGCTGAGTACCTGGAGAGGAGCTGGTGCATGTCCCACTTAACCCATGCTTTACCCTCTACTGACTACCTGGAGAGGAGCTGGTGCATGTCCCACTTAACCCATGCTTTACCCTCTGCTGAGTACCTGGAGAGGAGCTGGTGCATTCCACTTTACCCATGCTTTACCCTCTGCTGAGTACCTGGGGAGGAGCTGGTGCATGTTCCACCTAACCAATGCGTTACCAGCTGCTAAATACCTGGAGTTCCTGATTCTTTTAGATTACCCTTTGCATGTTATCTATATCTTACCGAGTACCTTCGTTTTCGAACTTTTGAGTAGATGTTCCATGCATTACCGATCATTACCTTAAATGGTACGAATTAACTTCATAAAGTCAAATCTTCTTTCTTATGGTGCACGTTACCAGATGGAGAGCTAGAAAGCATATTGATCCTATTAATTTCCCGTTACCACAAGTACAATGTAGTACTTGGATCTAGGCCTGTCAGAAGTTTGTCATACATACCACTGTTCAACCTCCCTTGAATCAGTTGTAGATTCAACACCAGCAATGCTAAGATTATCCACAACCATGTGAATGTCTTCATAGTGACTGAAAGAAGGACATTAATTGTCAAGGGCATAAATTATTTTCTGTCCCTAAAATTTAACGAATTTGAATTATTTAAAGAAATTGTGTCAATCACAAATATAGATTTGTTATCTGAAGACTCCCTGAACTTCCACATCTCAATGTGTTCCCAATACAAAGACAATAGTCTCAAAGTAAAAACACTGATAAACTTTGACACCATTGCATTAATCATGCATGCACACACATTTTGATAGCTGTGGCAAAACACGCTATTCTCTGTTACATCATGGATGAGACTGAAACTACTCCTACTACTTTATTTAGAACAAGCAAGTTCAAACTTCAACTAAAGTAAAACAATATATTACTGATCATCTATCATCTTATATTTCATGATTGTTTGTCTTACCTGGAAACTTACCGTTTTGTCGATATCAAGAAAGGCGAAGAACTTGCTAGACTCTAAGGGGTGCCCCAGATACCTATAATGATGGAAGACATACAGCAAGACATAATTAAAACCACATCATAGTGTTACTGTTCTAAAACGAATATTGCCATAGTAGTATGGATGATGGGGGTTCTGCCGCAACGCACCCTGGCCCAGGTCCGGCTCCTGACAAGGCTTCCGAGGAGGTATTAAGTTAAACCAACTATGTGATGACGGTTATTGGATGCAGTATTTGTCAAGATGCCATCCTATATCTAGGAAACAATGTATTCATAATCCCCCACCAGTTCTCTGCTTGGCGTGCTTGTTGTCTCCCCTGTTCTATTAACTTTTTTCTGTTGTACTATAGACGATAGGGGTACGGCCTCACCCCACCCATCATGTATATTATTCCCTATTCATGGAATATGTACACTGCAGTGACGACACATTACAGTATATACAGAATAAATGAATTCAGCTGTAAGATGACATCACATAACATAATTTTAGTTTCGAAATACATGTTGATTCACATACTATCTAACCAAACACGTACATCCTTGTAATGAAGCTTGGATATTGCAAAAACTGGTGTGAAAACCTACTCATTCGCTTACTCACTCATTGACGAACTGACTCACTCACTCACTCACCAACTCATTTACCGTCTGTCACCGTGTTAAAGCTGGACCTGTGTTAAAGTGGCGTAAAACGATCCCAATATTAAATAGAGAAGTGAATTACACCAAAACCTGAAAATCAGCAAACCTTCCAACAGCCCAAGATGAATGACTCAATCAACAAATAATGGATGTATAAATAGTGTTCAAATGGAAAAGTAGGCGGTGCTAGTTGCACAGCGACCACATTCGAGGTCACGATTGGTTAACGAATGCAAATGCGTCTCTTAATGGCTAATGGCTTAACAACTACCGTGTACCCACAGAGAAGCTGGAGTATGTTCAGGTTAACCCCTGTTTACCCCCTAACCCCGTGCATGTCCTATTAACCCATGTTTTACCCACTATCGAATACCTGAAGAGGAGCTGGTGTGTGTCCCAGTTAACCCTATTAAACCCACTGTCGAGAACCTGGTGAGGAGCTGGTCATGTCCCAATTAACCCTTTGAAACCAATTATGGAGTACCTGGAGAGGAGCTGGTGATGTCCCAGTTAAACAGGTAATCCTTTGAAACCCACTATCGAGTACCCGAAGAGGAGCTGGTGATGTCCTAGTTTACCCCTTTAAACCAACTATCGAGTACCTAGAGAGGAGCTGGTGATGTCCCAGTTTACCCTTTTTAAACCCAGTATCAAGAATCTGGAGAGGAGCTGGTGATGTCCCAGTTAACCCTTTTTAAACCTAGTATCAAGTATCTGGAGAGGGGCTGGTGATGTCCCAGTTAACCCTTTTTAAACCCAGTATCAAGTATCTGGAGAGGAGCTGGTGATGTCCCAGGTAACCCTTTTTAAACCCTTTTTAAACCCACTATCGAGTATCTGGAGAGGAGCTGTTGATTCTCAGTTAACCCTTTTTATACCCTCTATCGAGTATCTGGAGAGGAGCTGTTGATTCTCAGTTAACCCTTTTACTCTCTATCGAGTACCTGAAGACGAGCTGGTGATGTCCCAGTTTACCCTTTTAAACTCACTATCGAATACCCGAAGAGGAGCTGGTGCACGTCCCAGTTTACCCTTATAAACCCACTGTCGAGTATCTGGAGAGGGGCTGGTCATGTCTCAGTTAACCCTTTTTAAAACCACTATCGAGTACCCGGAGAGGAGCTGGTGATGTCCCAGTTAACCCCTTTAAACCCACTGTCGAGTACCCGAAGAGGAGCTGGTGCACGCCCCAGTTAACCCTTTAACACCCACTATCGAGTATCTTGAGAGGGGCTGGTGATGTCCCAGTTAACCCTTTTCAACCCACTATCGAATACGAGGAGAGGAGCTGGTGATGTCCCAGTTAACCCTTTTAAACTCACTATCGAATACCCGAAGAGGAGCTGGTGCACGTCCAAGTTTACCCTTTTAAACCCACTATCGAGTATCTGGAGAGGGGCTGGTGATGTCTCAGTTTACCCTTTTTAAACCCAGTATCAAGTATCTGGAGAGGGGCTGGTGATGTCCCAGTTAACCCTTTTTAAACCCAGTATCAAGTATCTGGAGAGGGGCTGGTGATGTCCCAGTTAACCCTTTTTAAACCCAATATCAAGTATCTGGATGGGGGCTGGTGATGTCCCAGTTAACCCTTTTTAAACCCAGTATCAAGTATCTGGAGAGGGGCTGGTGACGTCCCAGTTAACCCATAATATACCCAGTACTGACGTCACAATTGGCGAATTGGTGCATGTCTCAGTTATCCCATCTTTACCCACTGTTCTCAGCCTAAATCATGTCATAAAATACGATACATGAAACATACCACATCCTTAGTGCAGTACACCTGTGTAATAAGAGAGTTTTAATAAATTATTTCGTCAGCAAAGTATATTTATATATTCTCTGCTGTGCAAACGCAATAACAAACGGTACGAGTTCCCTTTGGTTTGATAAATAATACATATATGACGCAGAAGTCAAATATATGTGGAACCAGATACCTAGATTCCACCCGTAAACGGATTTTCAGAAATGTACACAGCTGGTTGTCAAGGTTTATTGAAACACAAACACGTCAGCACAACCTTCAGGCCCGCATTGCTCGTTGTTATTTCCCTTAACCTCATCTGAGAATATATATCTGAACGTAACAGTCAGCATGCATATGTTTGTAGCAAATTACTTATTCATATAACTCAATGCAAACATTTCAGAACGTTATGCAGACAAAATAAATCCTAACCTGATCAATGTATATAAAAGCTACAAAACCCTTTCCATATTCTTCTACAAGCAGAGTCAAGTGTACGATTCCGACTATATCATGATCATGTGTTTCTGAATCACTACCAAATAGTGATGACACCAGGTGTTCGCGAGAAGGTTAGCGTATGCTGCCCCACATGTGACAGCCAAAATTCCAAACATTTTATTAGAAATAAGTCAGCTCAAAACACCAAAGAAACACCAGAAAATAATTCAACAAGCAATACGTCTCTCTGTCTTTGTGCTGTTGCTCAAGGCTAGGTATACTGGTGGTATAAAGAAATGTTTAGGCTGAGACATTAAAACCTCCCCATTGTGCTGCATATCGAATGGTTCTTCATTACATATTACTTTACTTGTGAGAAGCAGAATATCTGCACTTGTACACTTCAAAGTTTAGATATATAAACAGTTAAGTAACATATTATATTATATATTCTAATATACGTGTTGTATATAAATGACCATGTAATGCATATAACATCAATATTCACATCCTTATATCTTTTTTACATTTATATTATCATGACCTACATCATCAATCTTAATAATAATAATAATAATAATAATAATAATCAGTTCTTTGCTTTTCTGTTTGTCATTAAATCCTTTAAGCTTTTCGCTAAGCAAAGAGGTAGGTTATCATCCTTGACCTCCTCAGCACTGATCACCAACACCCCTTACTCACCTCCTTTTCTTGTATGACCTTGAACTTATTGCCAATGGCGAGCGGAACTACACTCAAAAAACAGATTCTGCTTGTCGAATCCTTTTCTAATGATATCGGCATGTACTTTGGACTCGACAAATGCAACATTCTTCATCTGAAACGTGGCAAGGTAGAAGAGGGAGGATAAGTCAGTTTACTTGAAGGAGGAGTTATTGACCATCTCGTGGAAGGTCAGGCCTATACGTATGTAGGGATGTAGATTAGGGACAAACTCCAGAATGGCCGTATCAAGGAAAAACTTCGGGCAGAGTACAAATGTAGACTTTAAAAAGATCTTGAGTTCAGAGCTGAACTCTCTCAACAAAGTCAAAGCCACAAATACTTATGCTGTGCCCGTCCTTTCGTATTCTTTTGGTGTTGTTGATTGGACGAAACAAGAAATTCAGGGTATTGACACCCTCACACGAAGAATCATGTCAGACAATATATCCCACCACCCTCGCTCTCCCCTCAATCGCTTGTATTTTCCAATCATTATGGGAGGACGTGGTTAGATTAACGTTGGGGCTCTTCATGATAGAATTGTTTTGTGCACGTTTGCACACATTTATTTGTCCGATGATCCTCTTGTGAAGCATGTCAAGACTCATGATGAAAACAAGGTATTCCACAGTTTTCTAAAACGAGCCAAGTATATGGGACATAATCTCAATGTCGGTGTTGATTTTGTTGATGGTTCTGTACTGCTGGACGGTACAGGAATGAGTGTCAACCAAGCGAAGAGCCATATCAAATCGGCCCCAGACTCAGTTTTTCAAGGAGAGGCTTTCTATACGACCACTGCATCGAGTTTATGCGCAGTATGTTGAGAAGATCAGCAATCCTGCAGAGTCCTTTGCGTGGATGAAGTCGTCTGGCCTGAAAAGTGAAACTGACTTCTTTCGGTTTGCTGCTCAGGACCAGTCACTTCCAACTCGCAACGGTCAGTGTGTGATTTTGTATCAAAATGTAAATATGAAATGTAGATTATGTAATGAATTTAAGAACTGTCCAACACATTGTGAGTGGATTCCCAGCTTTGGAACAAACACAGTATCTTAAACGATATGATGGTATAGCTCGATCATTTTATTACCGTCTTCGCCGTGCTTGTGGTTTTGACACATAGGTCAATCCATGGTACGACCCGGAATATGTAGAGGGCGTTATGGAAAATGATCAATACAAAATTCTTTGGAATAGGCCGTGTTACAGCCTTAGATGTATCCAGGCCAACAAACATGATCTTGTCCTTTTTGATAAATCCAATGAAATCATTTATATCATTGAATTTTCTGTCCCCTTTTGACACGAATGTGATTGACAAGATGAGGAAAAACATGGCAAATATGCGGACCTCACTTTCGAAATGTCACGCTTGCATCCCAAGTACCAAGTTGTCCGACTCCCCATTGTTCTCGGTGCCTTAGGTTTGGTATCTCCCAATCTGTTGGCTGGCAATGGGAGAGTACCCGGGTTTGCCACCAGGAATACAGCCCTTCTGATAATCTGGGTAATGCAGAAGGCTGCAGTGTTGGGGAATCTTCACATTCTCCGAAACGTTCTGGGTGGGTTTGACTAGGCAGCGCTTCCTGGGAGAAGTCCCATTCGCTGTCTGGGCTGCGTGTAGAGGGGGCAAGGCCCCTGAGCTGATGATGAGCCTAACCAGCCTGACTGTGCCAGGATCACCAAAACCCTCTTTGGTGTATTTTTCATTTAACAGTCAGTATTTCTTATTTGATTTCCCTTCAGGAGGAATACACTTATGTTACGCAATATTTCACTATGTTATAATAAAATCAAGTATATGGAAGAGTGTATTGATGGGGTGGTTAAATAATTATCCATTATTTCGTGGGAAATCATAAAGTTCACACACAAATATTATAATTTATGCAATTGATCTTCAATAACATTTTTTCCCTAACTGAGACAATATTAACAGTCTTTCTTCATATGGTGTAGAATGGCGTCCTCCTGTATTTGTGGAAATGTTAAAGTTGCTGCATCTGAATCGTGATAACATCCTTTTAAGATGAGTTTGCAGAGTGAGTGAGTATGGTTTTACGCGGCTTTTGGCAATATCCGTGCAATATCACGGCGGGGGACACCAGAAATGGGCTTCACACATTGTACCTATGTCGGGAAACGAACCCGGGTCTTCTGCGTGACGAGCGAACGCTTGAACAACTAG